TGGCTGCTCTGCTCAGCTCCTTCCTGCTGCTGCCCTTGAGGGTGAACCTGTTATGCCCCTGTGGCAAGATGTTCTGCTCCTGGACCAGCTGGGTGGATCTATCCTCTATACTCTCTGCAGGGATTGCAGCTGCAGGGTTACACCCCAGGCATGTATGCCAGGCCTGAGCTGTGCCTGGAGGGGGCAAGGTGCAGTAGGGGGTAGAGGAAGCTCTCCCACACATTCACCAGACCTGGGCTAGGACTGGGTCTGAGGGTTCCCAGAACCCGGCAGAAATTCCTACTCGGAGGGCGGGGTGGGGGAGGTGCTGCGGAGTGGCGGGGTGCGTTCCAAGGGGATGGGAGAGGGTCTGGCCCATGCTTCACCTGGGCTGGGACTGGTCCCTCCGGCGCAGGGTAGCAGGAAGCTCTACCACACACTCACCGGACCTGGGCTAGGACTGGGTCTCAGATCAAGGAAATTATAATTCAAATGAGAAAATATTTTGTACTAATAATCAGATTTCTGGGATATATACCAAAGGACTCTGGCATTGGAGATATGCATGCTGTCTGGGACTCTTGCACTGGGCAATGTATACCTTTAAATGAATGTATCAGAAAAGGGGGTTGCACATGGAAAAAGTGAGCATCTATTTCAACAAGTCAGAAAAAAGAGCTATAAAATAAATGAGAACAAGCAGGAGGAAGGAAATAAAAAACAAAAATCACACAACTGAGAAGATAACAAATGCGCCCTTAGCTGGCACATGGAACCTTTGTTTCATTTCCAGTTTCCAGGACTGGTGTTGTGGCTCACTCTGCAAGAAGAATCTACTGTCCCTCTGGAGTAAGAGACTCTGGAAAGTTCCAGGCAGAGTCCCTGATGGTTTTACTGAGGCCTTGTCACGCCACTTGCTAGGGGAAACAGCACACCCTGCGTGGCCACACTGGACACACAGCCCAGGAAGCACGCACCTTGGAGCTCTCCCCTGGGCTGAGCTCTCCCCTGGGCTGACCACTTCCGATCCCTCCCTGGGAAGAGCCACGGCCTTCCCACAGAGGAAGCCTATGGAGGACTGAGTGCCCCAAGGTTAAGTGACCCTGGCAGCCTTGGGGCACCAGCACAAATAAGAGACAGACGACTGCTAGACAGGCAGGCAGATAGAAGAAGAAACAAATAATTTTTAAAATGCTTTATATCACAATTTTTTTTCTTTTTGAGACAGGGTCTCACTAAGCAGTTCAGGCTGGCCTCAAGTTCACTACATAGCCCAGGCTGGAGCAATCCTCCTGCCTCTGCTTCCTGAGTGCTGAGATTACAGATGTGAGCCACCATACCCAGCATATCATGAAATTTTTTAATTCAAGAAATTTTCATTAGGGCCAGCCAAATAGCTCAGTGGATTAAAGCGCCTGCAAGCAGATGCCAGGGCCCTGAGGTTTGATCCCCAGGCCTGCCATGCTGGCCCCACCCACGGGGTGTCCTGAGACTGGGCGTGGTAGCGCATGCCTGTAACCCTGGCTCTTGGGAGGCCATAAACTGGTGGATCACTACAAGTCTGATCTAGTAGTGAGACCCTGAACACCCTGTAGACCCTTTCCTAAAATGCAAAAAAGAAGAAGAAGAAGAAGAAGAAGAAGAAGAAGAAGAAGAAGAAGAAGAAGAAGAAGAAGAAGAAGAAGAAGAAGAAGAAGAGAAAAGAAAAACATTTTTCCTTGAAAGAAAAGAAATTTATATCTTGGGTAGTCTTTTTTTTTTTTGGCAGAACCAGGGATTGAACTCAGGCCCTTGCGCTTGCCAGGGAAGTGCTTATTCCACTGAGCCATCTCCCCGGCCCCAAGAAATTTATATCTTAAAACTTATAAAGCAAAACAAATACAGACAGTAATTTATTCTACAACTGCAATGTTAAGCTTGGTCAAGAAGCAACTCACCTTGAGTAACTTGATCTCTCGCATGGCAATTTTCTTCACCATTTTGTCATCGTCGCTTTCTAAGAACTTCTTGATGGCCACTGTCCTCCCGCTGTCCTTGTCCCTACACTTCATCACCACTCCATAGCTCCCTTCTCCAACCAATCCTAGGTTCTCATATTTTTCCATTTTATTTTAAAAACAATAGGAATGTTTCTTGCTGTGGAAACCAAAACACAGAGTCACTCATGTTGAGTTTACTCATCGCCTCCATTCCCCCAGCGCATCAGGGGCTCCTCTGGTTCCATCTCAAAGCAGTCAATGTGCACGGCTATCGATCCCAACTCACGATTCCCTAGTATTCCTACAACTAAGCTATGTTTCCAAAATAATCACACATATCTCACAAAAGACAAGGCAAAGGAAGAGAACTCATTAAACTCAAATTACTACATGTCATATTAAGAAAATTCAATGTTTTTAGTTTAGATAAAGCAAAACTAGTTCAGCTCACTCTAGAAAAGTACAATTCCTTTCCATTCATGGGTAAAAAGGCACACTGGAATTCCATTTTAATGAAGGCCAAGATATTTCTTTCACCAGGCTTAAAAAATAATCAGAGTTGGAAATCTGATATACTGCCTACTCAACCAGAAAAAAAAAATTAGTCACAAAATAATTATTTACCATACTAACACTGAACCTATGATATATGTTTTCTTTAATTTTCTCACAGTACTAATTACTATTTATAGTTTCAAAATAAGGTCAATAATATCATATAAACAGAATTTTTAAGGAAATTAAATATTAGCAACACTGATACAGTATTTAAAAAATCCTGCTACCATTATATCTTTTATATAACATCCATTGTGTTATATGCTATCTTCTGAATAAAATCGGTCATAATGGACTCTTTCCTGCTTTACCAGTCATTGGTGAAGGTCCAGTAACCATATCATGCATGACATTTAGGCGTACGTTTAAGCATGTTTAGATACAGAAAAGTCATCCCAAGGCTGGCGATGGGGATATAGCTCAAATGCTTAGCATGTGTGAGACCCTGAGATCAGTCCCACCAACACAGACACAAAATATTTCAGTCCAAATACAGATATATTTGTTCATGTTTGGTTGCCATGACATAAAAACTAATACACTGCAACTTCAAAGTTAAATGTATTCTTTTTTTTTTTTTTTTGGTACCGGGGATTGAACTCAGGACCTTGTGCTTGCGAGGCAAGTGCTTATTCTATTGAGCTATCTCCCCGGCCCTCAAAGTTAAATTTAGTTCTAGAATTTTGATTCTAAAATTAAGTTCCAGTGAGGCATGGTGGCACACACCTGTAATCACAGTTCTTGGGAGGCTGAGGCAGGAAAGTTGCCAACAGTTCAAGGCCAGCTTGGACTACATAGTGAGACATGTCTCAAAAACCCAAACCAAGCAACAACAACAAAATCCAAAACATTAAGTTCCAGAAGCCATAAAGAAAAAAAAAAAAAAAAAAAAACTGCTTTTAACCCAATTTGGTTTCAGTGGCTCATGTTTCCATTTTCTGTACTGGGAATCTAACTCAGGATTTTGCACTTGCCAGGCAGATACTTGTGCCCATGAGCTGTATCTGCCACCCTTTGGGTTCTTGGAAACAAGAGGGTTTCAATCGTTTCTGGTAACTTGATTGATTGATTGATTGATTGATCGATTGGCTTGCCGGGCAGGTACTTATGCCACTGAGCTATCTCCCTGGCCCTGTGGGTAACTTTATTGTTTGCAAAGGATGGTTCATGGTTGAATTTTCTTTTCAGTCTGACAATATAAAAACACCCATAAAACTTCGCCATTGTACTGTGTACTTGGCAAATCTAAAACTAATGTACCCAGATCATGAATTGCCCTGATGGTTTCCTTACTTCCCTGTTGTTACACTGATAACAAAGACAAAACATGCTTTTTGTCGCAGCAAACTATGATACCCCAGTGCAATACCACATTCTCAACACTCACTCATGCTTTCACTAGACACACTGTGGGGCTGGGGGTGAATGGGTGTCACTCTAGCACCGAGCTATGACTGAGGTCCTGTTAAACACAGTACCTAAATGCGGCTGTGCACGGAGAACCACAAGAGTGACTGGGTGGGGCTCAAACAATACCCATCATCCCTAACTCACATTCTTTCATTGTTCTGCTCCTGTTTTGACAGCAGATTGTTCTAACAACTATTTAACCAGCAGTGTTCCAGATACCATCTGTCCATATATTTGATGTTTTAACGTCTACTTAAGTAACTTCTATTAGCTATTTTTAATAAAATATTTGTAATTTTAAAAAGTCTCAGTGTAATTCTTCCTTCCTTCTTTCATTTGCTCTCTCATCCGGAAAAGCGTGTTTCAGGCCGGGTGTGGAGATGTAGGCCTGTAATCCCATCATTCTGGAAGGCTGAGGCAGGTGGACCACAAATGGGAGCCTAGCTTGGGCAATTAGGTGAGACTCTGTCTCAAAACCAAATCTTATAAAAAGGCTGAGGATGTAGCTCAGGGTGAAGACCCTGGGACCCAGCCGCCGTATCGGAGAGGGGTGTAACTGGCATCCTCAAGCTGGAAAGATGTGAGTAAGCAGGGTAACAGCAACCTTGGGCATGCCCAGGGTACCCTGCACTGATCACAGCTGACCTGACCCAAGCCCAGCGCCCTGAGTCTATTCCCAGCACGCTCGGTAGACACCGCTTCCCGTGGCCCGCCACGCCTCCTCCCGGCAGCGGCCAGCAGAGCACGGTCCGAACCGCAGCTGGCTAGCAGCCCCTGCTTCCTGGTGACACGCGGGAAAGGCTGTCTGTGAGGCGGACCGAGACCCCTCCAGAGGGAAGCTGAGGCACGGCCCGACTGTCACTTACGGTTTCTTCAGTCACCCGGCGTGGAGCGATCCGACAGTCCCCGACTCGGCAGCAGACACCGGGCTCCACGCATGTCGCAGGGGCTCGGGAGACGCAGCCTAGGAGCCCTGTGGCGGCCGGGCCGCGACCCCCACGGATGCAGTGCGGGCCCAGGCCGAGGCGCAGAGGGTCCCGCCCGCCGCGACACACTCTCCGAGGACCGCTGGCCGCATGCTGCCGTCGCCACGGCAACGCCCCGCCCGTCCCAATCCCCGCTGCAGCGAGATCCGGAGCGGCGGTCCCGAGGCGAAAGCGTGCTCGACGCCGCCCACGGGGACGCTGGTGGGGACAGAGCGGAATTAGGGAACCCGGCGGAACGGGGTGGGGGTGGGGACGGAGCGCCACGCCCAAGATCTGCAAGGAGCGCCCGTCACCCTCCGGGGCGCGGCCGCCAGCCGCAGGGCGGGTTCCCGCACGCCACACCCCACTCCCTGATTGGCTGCGCTCTGTCGCCATGCACGCTGATTGGATCGGCTCCACGGCCTCCCGCTCTTCACCTGGGCCTCAGCGGGGCGCAGGCGCGGCACACCTGGGTTCTCCTCGGTTCGCGGTGGGCTCCGAGAGCCCGGGGTTAGGTAGGAGGCCACGGAATACTGATGGGGCTAAGGGACAGGGTCTTGGGGCACGGGGGCGGGAGAGGACGTGGAAGAGGTCTGGGCAAGAGGGCTCCCGCGGGGAGAGGCCACACCTGAGCGGCGGGAGTGACCCTGTACCTTGGGTGGAGATCCGGGACCGGAGGGGCCCCCGGGAATTGAGTTGGCGCAGTAATGGTTGAGAACTCGCATCCTCGGCCAGGCCAGGTTTCCACCTGGGCTGAAATCACCGAGAAACAGTGCTTCCCTCGCTTTCACGGAATCGAAGACCCAACATCCAGCTACACCTTGAAGAAACTGTTCGTACCATCATCACACTTGTGTTTAAAATAGTCAAGCCTGACTTGGTGGTGCACGACTGTAATCGCGGCACTCTGAGAGGCCTAAGCAGCAGGAAGATTGCAGATTTCAGTCCAGCCTGGGCAATTTAGTGATTTTGGGCAACCCTGTCTCGAAAAGTAACAAAAGAGTATTTGTTTTGCTTAATGCAGAGGTTCTAGGTTCAATCCTCTGTACTGCAGATTGAATATATATATATATATATATATATTGAAACCAGGGATTCGTGGCCACAAATTAATTAAATAAAAGAAGAAAAAAGAAGAAGGAGAAGAAGAAGAAAAACCACCCACATTTGGTCCTCAGAAGAGTGTTCCAGCCAAGTAGCAGACATTGATAACTTAGATAATATTAAGATATTAATAATTAAGGCATTCCTTCTTGTACACTAAGAAATATGCATTCTGTTTATAATCTTTATGGTTAACATGCAGTAATCTTCCAGTCTTAATAACATTGTCCAAATTGCTGAAAATCTAATTCTAAACCTGTAATGAGGACCAGACCTGGAAACTGGTTATGGAAATACCCTCATTGGTCATTTCCAAAGAAGAATCTCACTGTCACAATTTGCTTTATCGTTAACTGTGACCCTGCCCCATTTTGTTATCTCTGTAGGATATAGCAGAATGTGAAGAACTTCTTTTGTATGAGAGACAGATCCAAGTTTGTTAGGCCTAAAGCTCCAAGAGTGCAAACAGGAGCTGGGCATGGTGGTGCACACCTATAATTCCAACACTCTGGGAGGCTGAAGCAGGAGGATCACAAGTTTGAACACTGTAGGCAAGCACCAGGAACAGTGCCTCTTGTTTGAAGAGGAGAGGGGAGAAAAAAAGAGCAAGAGCAAGAGTTGTACATCCTAGGAAAAATCTACAGGATTGTTGAAAAAGAAGTAATATTCAAACACAAGATTGTGTTTTATTTTTAAGCAGAGAAATATTTGTAGAGGAAGAGTAGAGAGAGGCTTTAAAGAGACACTGAAAAGAGTAAAAATAGTATAACTGGGGTTCTAAAGTATAATGGTCTAGGCTGGTTTAAAGAAAAAGAGGGAAAACTGAAAAAAGTATGACAGTAAGTTGGTCTAGACCTCAGTAAAAAGTTGATTTCTGCTTAAAAGGAACTGGTGAGACTGAGGCTTAAAGATTCATGAGCAGGGGGCCTGGGAGATGGCTCAGTGGAATAAGTGCTTCTCTGGCAGTGTAAGGGCCTGAATTCAACCCCTGGTTCCACCAAAAACACACACAAAAGAAAAAAAGATTCAGGAGCAGAAATTCCTCAAAAAGGTAGTTAGCAGTCATTTTTATACAAAAGGAACATAGCTGTGTGCCACCTGAGCTGGCACTCCATGCCCTTACAGTGATAGCAGCCTGCCTGTTCCCCAGGACATTGTGACCTTAGGGCGAGTGGAGAGAAGCTTTTTCTCCTAGAGACTTGGTGATGGCAGGAGATGAAACAGAGGAACTAAAACAGGAAGAGCACTGGAGAAAGGACCATGGAAAAGGCTTGCCACAGGTGCCAGCGAGCTAGGAAGCTGGCTCATGGCAGTAGCTAGTCAAGAGACAGCAAAGAGAAATGCAGGGCTGGGAGCTCATCATAGGCATGAAAAAGAGTTCAATAGTGAATGAAGAGGAAAAAGATATCAGAGAAGGAGGTAGAAATGGCACAAAATGCTAACACTAAAGGGTGAACCACTGGGCCCAGGATATACCTAGGAGAGTAGTAAAACACCTACTCAGCATCAGTGGCCCAGGGTTCAATCTCTGGGCTCACAAAACACTAGTGATAATAGTACTGAGTACAATGTATGGCCCTGCCTTTAGGTAGATTAAATTGAGAAGAAAATGTCATTGAGTTAAGATCAAAGAAACTGGATTCAGAGTATGAATGTCATTGACATGATCTACCAGCTGAGGCTATAGGAAAGGGGGGAGGGGGATATTGTCATCACTAGAGAAAGTCAAAATGTTCTAAATCTGGAGACAGCAGAGTAACTTTGAGATGAAAATCATGAAAGGATGCTTCAGAGATGGCAAGAAAAAGAAAATGGAGGTGGACAGAGGGATGCATGATCATGCTGCTCCGCTTCTGGGTCCACACCCAAGAGAAATGAAAACATATTCATATGACAGCTTAAACAGGTATGTTCCTCAATGTTTCTAGAAATAGTAAAAGTGGAAGCCGGGGTGGTAGTGCCTGCCTGTAATCCCAACACTTAGGAGACTGAGGAAGGAGAAGCACCACAAATTTGAGGCTAGACTGGACTATATAGTGAAATCTTGTCTGAGAGAAAGTAAAAGAAAGAGAGAGAGAGAGAGAGAGAGAGAGAGAGAGAGAGAGAGAGAGAGAGAGACAGAGCAGAAGGTTGAATACAGGATATAATTTTTAGGATTATTTTATAATAGTCATCTGAAGATTCAATTAAAAGAGTGCAGGAAATTTGTCCACACACTAAAGACCCAAACAATCCAGCTGAGGGCCTGGATCTCATGGCAATGTCCTGCATGAGCCCAGCTGAAGACCTAGAGCCCATAAATGCCCCCCAAGTCCAGTTGGAGGCCAAGAGCCCATGACAGTGTCTCATGCAGGCCTTTTTCATGGAGCTGCACTGAGAAGGCTCCATGGTCAGTGTGGAAGCTAGAAAGTATGTGCCAGTGAGATGAAGGATCTGGTTCAGCAAGCTGAGGGAGCTACAATGGAGCCAGAAAGCATGTTTAAAGTGAGAATCAGAGCTCTCCTGGAAAGTCTCACAACCATCCTCAGCATCATTGAGATCCCAAGGTCCTCCAATGAGAACAGCTGAGTTCCTATCAGTAAAACCAGCATGACAAATTTTCCCAGGAGACTGAACAGTGCACCATCCTCCCCTTTGTAGCCAGGAAGCAATATTCAAAACAAGAACCAGAGTGCCCCCAAAGTGAACCATGACCATTCTCAGCAACAACAAGGTCCTAAGCTCCTCCAACAATAAGAACAGCAGAGTTCATATCAGGAAAGCCAATGTGACAAACTCCTCCAGCAGAACCAACAGTCCCAGGAGAACCAACTGCACCCCTTCTTCCTTGACAGTTCTCCTTTTATGCTGTTGGCAACAATCCTTAGGTGGATCTTCCATACAAGCACCAACCTGATTTAGTTCAGCTGGGTGCTACAAGTTGACCACCAATTGTCAATCACATCATAGAATCACATCATCTACACATCCATAGAAGGACAAAGTCAGGTAGGACTGGGGGTCTAGTCCCATGGTAGAGTGTGTATTTAGCCTGTACTAGATCCTAAGGTCAGTCCCCACACAAGTCTGGTAAGTTCATTCAATGAAATATTACTCAATCATTAAAAAGGCAGACTAAATCCCCAGCCTGCCATGCCGATCCCACCCCAGGGCACCCTGAGACAGCAATTGAGACTGGATGTCATGGCACTCGCCTGTAATTCCAGAACTCATGAGGCTAAAAAACAGGAAGGATCACTACAAGTCCAGTCTGTGTAGTGAGACTCTGTAGACTAAGACTTCTTGACTTTTTTGTATTTTACTAAATACATAAAAAGGTAGACAAATATATGTTACAACATGAATAACTCTTGAAAACATGCTAAGTTAAAGAAGCCAAACACAAAATATCACCCACGATATGATTCCATTTCTATAATGTGTCTGGCCAAAGCAAACCCAAAGATACAGTAGATTGGTGCTAAATGGAAATGTGGAGTGACTACTAATGACTATATGAGTTGGGGGAGTGATAAGAATATTCTGAAATTAGACAATTGTGATTATTACAAAGCCTTGTGGAATATACTAAAAACCACTGGAAGACTGAGGCAGGAGGATCATTGTGATCCTTCTGGGCTACAAAGTGAGTTCAAGGTCAGCCTGAATTGCATAGTGAAACCCTGTCTCAAAAAGACACACACACAAAAGATTATATATATATATATATATATATATATATAATTATTATTATTATTATTTTTTGCAGAACCAGGGATTGAACTCAGGCCCTTGCGCTTGCCAGGGAAGCACTTATTCTACTGAGCCATCTCCCTGGCCCACAAAAGATGAATATTATCTAATAAACTACAAGGAGGGAAGCAGTCTGAAGCCTCTCTAGAAATGTATTTTTCCTAAGTATTTTGGCTTATAGTGGACCCACCCTTTTCCTCATAGCAGCAGCCATCTGTTAAATGACCTCTTGCACCTCTATCTTAGGCATCTTCACAGGTGCCTTCTCTGCATGCTCAAAACAAGCACGCTGGGGTCTTGTCTCTCCTCCCTACCCTATGCCCCCAAGAAGCAGCACTTTTAGGTTCTGTGAGGTCTAGACATCATGAGCCTGGTCATCTGCCAAAGTCACCAAGTGAATGGAAGGGTCACAAAATCTCCAGACAAGTGTGGTCCTTTGTTGTCACTATCTTATAGGATTCAAAGACATTAAGATCGAAAGACATTGCACCATCTATCAAGAAAATAGGTGCTGGAAAGTAGCTCCATCACAAGGCTCTCTTCAGCATCCCCAGGGCCTGGGCTGACCTAAGTGTGCACACACACACACACAGAAAATACAGAAAAGTCTCATTCTGAAGTTCTGAGGCTCTTTGAACAGAGGACACTTGCCGTGAAAGAGTTCATTCTGTTCTCAGCCTAGTGATGTTACTACTGTAATGCATTACAGTGATTAAGAAGACAACAGGTAGGGGCTGGGGAGATGGCTCAGTGGAATAAGCACTTCCCTGGCAAGTGCAAGGGCCTGAGTTCAATCCCTGGTTCTGCCAAAAGAAAAAAAAAAGACAACGGCACGATTTTGAAACCTCACGCATATGAAGTCCAACAGGCACCACTTTTTGACTTGCTGCTTCCCAGCTCATCCGTAACAGCACACATACAGAGATCCTTTCTCAGAACGTGCTGGGTTTGTTCCTATGGGAACAGTGTCTCTTGAGATGACTCTATAGAATCCCCCTCTACCTTTACTCCTTCCACTTTTTGCATGTGTTAACTGCTTCCTTCTCTTTCCTCCTTGGGGCTGCACCCTCACTGCTTCACCAAGAGGGTTCTTATCCAAAGTCACTCTGACCTTCGTCTTGCCTGAGCTGTCTTTGGCCAAAAATGTTTCCTCTCAGCAAGGCAGCTCCTCTTCTTCCTGTCACAGATGGTGGGTTTTGGCCTCCACGGAGACTGAGGGATGCCTTGACTGACTTTGCATTGGAAAAGGAATCAGGTACCATTCCCAGTCACGGTCCTTGAGAATCTGTCTGTGTCCTGCCCATTGCATGGCTGTACTGGCATGGGCTCCAACAGTCTGGAAGTCACTAGATTTTAAAATTAGGGAGTCTTCCTCATCTGCATACCTGAGTGAGGAAGTGGGGTTGGGTGAGACCACTGGGTCTTCACTACCACTTTCCTAACACTTTTTACCACAGCAGATGGGCAAGGCTGCAGTATCTCAGCCATCTAGAGATTTTATGATCCATTTTCACAGCAGCCAGCTTACTAATTAATTTACAATTTTGTCTTTGCAGTAGCATTTGGTATAATCTCTTATTTTTTCTTCCTGATAGTCCTAAAGCTTTCCACCGCACCAATGTTTGCTTCCCTATATTCTTTCCATGCTCCTCCTTGTCATAATCCTCATCTCAGCGGTATCTGAGACTGTGCTCATCCTCTTCTCCTCAGGACTCCTGCACTTGGTGAGCTTGTCCACTTCGAAGTATGCAAGTATTTGCATGAGCCATTCAGCACACTGCTCAGGTCAGAACTCCAGTTATACCTACTCCCCAGGACTGCTTCATGGGCATCCAACCAGAAAGTAAAAACTTCACACAGCACTGCTGATTTTCCCTCCAGGTCCACCTCTGCTGCTGCTCCTTCTTGTAGGTCACTGCCTTCCACCCAGGTTGCATCCAAACTTGAGACCTCCTCGAGCTCTGCCTCCCCCCCCCCCATCCAGAGTCCCATCCATAAGCAGCTCCAGTGGATTCTGTCTCCATCAGCCTTAAGAGCTGACCACTGATCGGTCCTCACTGTGAAGTTTCTCCAAGCTTTCCCCACCCCCATCATCTGGTGTCACTTCCTAACTAGGGTCCCTGCAGTCCCACTAGGAGCAAAACCCAGCTACAAGGCCACCTTGGCTCAGCTCTGCCTACCTGTTAATGTCAGCTGTGTTTACACTGCCTTTCCACACAACAGGGTGCCTGCAGTTCTTCCATGCAGAGGTGCCTCCTTTCCAACCCAGTGGAGTGGTCCCATCTCCTGTCATTGCCACACCTTCCATAGGTCCTTCCCAAATGGATAAGCAGCTCACCTACCATGCCCCAGCCAACTTCTCTGTCAAGTATGCCTCACTTCAAAAGGATTATTTCAAGAACCACATTGGACTCATCCCAGGACTCATCAGGAATGAAATTACACCTTGGTTGGCTCTCTCTCTCAAAAAATCTAAGGTAGATTGTCCCTGCTGTCACCAGCCAGCACCTGCCAGGTTGCTAGCACATACTCGATGTTAATACATGTTCACAAGTACTTTTCAAGTCTTTTGTGATTATTTTGATATTAATCATGGCTTTTTTTGTTTTGAGACAGGGTCTTGCTATATAGTTCAGGTTGGACTTGAACTATGCAAACTTTCAGCAATCCTTCCACCCCAGTCTTTTCTTCCCCCATGCTAGTACTGGGTCACAGGCATGCAACTGCTAAGCCCAGCTCTTAATGCCTGCTGTGAAATGCTACTCTAAGTCCTTCTTCAGAAGTTGCCTTCCAATTGTTGCATTTTTCCTGTCTCTGTTCTAAAAGCTATGATCTTCACTACCATATCAGGAAGTTTCTACTTTTGTTTTGAACTTTTCTGAGCTTTAGTTCACCTCTGAAAAACAAAACTTAAACTAGGTATGATGAGGCACACCTCTTGTCCCAGGACTCTGGCACGCTGCAGTAGGAGAATAGCAAGTTCACGTTGAAGGGAAAGTTGGAGGACAGGTAGGGAAAGTTAAGGGGGCTTGTGGGGTTGCTGGCAAGTGAAGAATTGAGGGCTCATTTCATGTCAACGATCAATTCCCTTTTCCCTCCATCTCCAATTAAGCACCCACACCCACACACAAAAAGGTGGTGGCTATATTCTAAAAAACTCAAACCTAGCCAGTTACACACCTATACATAAATAAGTACATATATATACACATGCATTAGTGTCTCACTATATTAATACTAAAACACACATGGATCCTTTTTAAGCCTTGAATATGATTCTGCCACAAATCTCACAAGACAAACTGGACAGTACAAAGAGACCACAGAAGAGCTTATCCAAGGATGTATGCATAGGCAATAGGACAATGGCCAAATCAGGGGTCTTGAGCCTAGACTAGCCAACCAAGTTGGAACAACTTTCAAGAGGGATGTTCCTTATCTCATGTAATAAAAGGGGCCTAGTACTAAGACCTACCTAAGTTCTGGCTCTGGGCTCCCTTACTCCAGCAAGGTAATTCTGTCTTGTTATTTTTCTCCCTTTTTCCAGTAGTCATTTGGTTTCTCCACTTTTTTTTTTTTTAAGTTGAAAAACCATTTGTTTCACTGGAAAGATTAAAGTGATCCAAGTCTAGGTCTAGCCTTTGGGCTAAAAGAAACCCAAGAGCAGTGGTGACTTTCTCACTGAGGTCATTCCCAAATCCAACACCCACTGGAGGCAGGAGGCAGGAGACAGGGCAGCTTCTGCATACGGTGTGGCCTGTTGGGAAAAAAACATGAATGGGAATCTACAGAAGTATTAAACAACAGCAAGAACAGGATAATGGGCACTACAGAGAAAAAGAAAGGAGGTCCAAACTTAGCAAGGTAAATTAAGGTCTATGGTTCCTCCGGGACTGAATGCTCAGAGCCGAAAACATCCCAGAGATGGGGGTACCAGCGAAGTCTGTATTCTCATGCACAACCGCAGCTCAGAATTTCAGCCCACACGTATCCCACTTTGAAACTCAGTGTTATCAAGGCCCTTGATGGCCTCCACTGCATCTTCTCCCCGCTCCATGTGTACAAAAGCATAATCTTTCACATTGCCACATTCGATGACTGGACCAGTCCTCAAATTCGGCCCGAAGCTCTTTGTTGGTACAGGTGGGGCTGATGTCACCCACATGTAACTTGGTTGAAGC